GTTTAACTTGTGCCTGCCTCATCGTTTTATCTTGGAGGTATATAACTTGTTTAAAGGAACCTTCAGTCTAGGGGGAGAATTTAGACTTGGGCTTTTAAACAATGTCTTAGTTAGGGTTAGTATTACTATGATGAAACACCATGACCAAAAGCAAGATGGGTTAGAGAGGATGTAGTCAATCATTGAAAGAACTCATAATAGGACCAAAACCTGGAGGCAGGAACTGATGCAGACTGAAAAGTTTCTACACCCCGATAAGCCTCTCCACCAATGCAACAATACAAATCAGACCAAATCAAACCAAATTAGAAGAAGCCCACGTTTAATGCATAAGGGCTCTTGGGTGGCCTTCCAGCCCCCCAGAGAGATGGGAAAGAGAGACCTGGAAAACCTCGAGTCTGGTTTTGGGGGGCAGGGCAGTTTAAATACCCTATGGGAGTGGTCTTGAGCATCTCTGGGGGAGGGGCCATCATTTGGCAGGCTTTCTGAGATGCAGCAGGGTTTGGAGGGAAATGGGGAGGGGGCTTGGGTGGAACTTCCACCATAACATCCCAGACTCTTTAGGTATATGGATGCCAGAGACTGGGGCAAAGCTTTTATCATAAGAGGGTATATGGATACCAAGGGCTGGGGTGAAGCTTCCACCTTAACAGAGGCCATGGTGGTGGTGGTGGTGGTGAGGTGCTGCTTACTGGCTTGCTTCTAATGGCTTGCTAAGCCTGTTTTCTTTCTTTTTTTTTCCTCCTAAGCTTGCTTTCTAATAGAACCCAGAACCACCAGCCCAGGGATGGCCCCATCCCAACGGGCTGAGCCCTCTTCCATCAATCACTAATCAAGAAAATGCCCCACAGGCTTGCCTACAGCCTGATTTTTTGTTTGTTTGTTTGTTTGGTTTTTCGAGACAGGGTTTCTCTGTATTGTTTTGGAGATGGTCCTGGAACTCTCTCTGTAGACCAGGCTGCCCTCAAACTCAGAGATCTACCTGCCTTTGCCTCCTGAGTGTTGGGATTAAAGGCTTGCACTACCAACACCCGGTCATACAGCCTGATCTTGAGGTATTTCCTCAACTTAGACTCCTTTCTCTCTGATGACTCTAGCTTGTCAAGTTGACACAAAACCAGCCAGAATAGTGACCCTCATTGTAACTCACTACTGATTTAAAAGACACGAGAAGCCAGTTTTCATACTAGAGTTCCTAAGAAGAAGAGGCCCCTATCACATCACATCTTGCAACCTGGAGTTCCTATTCTAGTCCTTATCAACCTCTCCAGCAAAAAGAACCTTGTGTGTCCCTTGTGGAAATGGGACATGGTGGCAGGATGCTGTCGTGGATACTCATTTTGCTTGGTGGAAAGTCCCTGCCTCAGTTGTCCTACCCACCAACAGGGGCCTTGGTTGTATGAGCATTTCTTGGAACTGGGAGGCCCACTGTGCTGATCTTGGCTAACATTCACCTTTCTGCAGGGTACTCATTTGGAGACGGATACTCACCTTCTCCCTCCCTCCCTAATCCCCCATCAGTATGTGATGTGTTCTCACACACCCACATGTATTTTATGTAAGTCACAGATCAGCGTCAAGTGTGTCTTCTCTACTTTATCCTTTGAGATAGAATCCCTGAACCCAAAGCTTCGAGTCCCAGCATGGAAAAGAAGTAACCTAGCACAAGCAACATTCATTCAGTCCTCACACAAACTCCACATTCTGACTTCCTCTCTCCAGACACCGTGTTCCTGTTGCTTGCTTGCTTGTGGTCTCCCTGGAAGCACACAAACACTCCAGTGAGCTCCAGTAGGCTGGATCAGAATGGGGCAGACTTTGAAATTGCAGTGGACCAGCAGGAAAGCTCAGTACTACCATGGGGACAGGTCACGTCTACTGCAGGCAAGGTGCTCAAGTTACAGATAAAATCACAGCAGCAAAGACACAATCTGTTAATTACCAATGTGGAAGGAACATGAAGAGAAGAGGTTCTGGTTATTTTTAAATTACGTGTATTTATTTTCTGTGTGTGTGTGGTGCCCTGTAATGTGATGCACATGTGGATGTCAGAGGATAATCTGCAGGAATGAGTTCTCTCCTTCCATCACATACGTTTCTGGGATAGACAAAGCTAGGCTGGAACTCACTACGTAGCCTAGGCTGGTCTTGCCCTCCTGACAATATTCTTACCTCAGATTCCTGAGTGCTGGGATTATGGATGTGAGCTACCAAGTCTGGTTCATAAAGAGAAAGTTTGCTACTCACGGCTGGTTCTTTTGGAAGAACATTGACAGGTGAAGTTCAGTGCAAAGGAAACCAAGAGCAAAGGACTTTTCCCTCCTCCTCTTCTGGTTTAAAGTTGTGAGTTTAAAAAATGGCCTTATTGGGGATGGACGGTTGGCTCAGAGGTTAAGTGCACTGGCTGCTCTTCCAGAGGTCCTGAGTTCAAATCCCAGTAACAACAAGGTGGCTCACAATCATCAATAATGAAATCTGGTGCCCTCTTGTGGACTGCAGGCTTACATGCAGATAGATCACTGCATACACAAAAATAAAGAAATCTTAAAAGAAAAAAAAAAGACCTTATATAATGGACATGGTGGCTCACACCTTTAATCCCAGCACTCATGAGCCACAGGCAAGGCAGATCTTTGTGAGTTCAAGGTCAGCCACGACTACACATTGAAACCCTGTCACAAAAATAAGTAAATAAACAAATAAATAGCCCTATTCTTTTGTCCCTTCCACTCTCCTGCTTGTAACATAACATATTCAAATTATCTTTATTAGTGTATTCAAAGTAATTTTTGGTTCCCTAATTGGGACAACAGACAGAATCTCAGACAGTGAAAATGAATCTCAGAATTTAGTGATAGGTTCAGTGGAGAATAGAAGGCACATCTAAGTTCTCAGAGCCTCAAAACTCAAAGCTAGCCTGTCACCAGGTGACACCCTCCATAGCAGAGCTTTCTTTGGACTGCTGGCTCCTGAATAATGACATTGAGACTTATTAATCATGAAAGTTTGGCCTTAGCTTAGGCTTATTCCCAAGTAACTTTTAAAACTTCAATTAACCCATGTATATGAATCTATGTTCTGCCACGTGACTCCTTTACCTCTCCTCAATACCATATGTGCTACTTCCTCCCCATCTGGCTGACCTATCTCCCATGCCTCAGATTGTTTCCCAGAGTTCCTATTTCTCCCCGGGAGTCCTCCCTATTCTCTCCTGCCTAGCCAATCAGCTATTTATTAAACCAATCAGAAGGTGTCTTAGGCAAGTGAGGAAGACAGAGGCTCATTCATCTTCACATGGTATACAAAAAAATTATCCCAACATTCAGTGCACTCTACTGGAGGTCACTTATCTATAAAATCAGACATTTTCGATAGGTGTTGGGGCATGCCTTTAATCCCAGCTCTCAGAAGGCAGAGGCAGGAGGATCTCTGTGAATTCAAAGTCAGTTGTTCTACAAACCGAGTTTCAGGACAGAGAAACCCTGTCTCAAAAACAAAACAAAACAAAACAAAAAGACAAAAAGGTCAGATACTTTCAGTAGTACCCAGAGGAGTCCTCCCCAGCTGTTCTGACAGCATGACTATAGGACAAGCAGCTACTGGGGGACAGCAGGCTAGAGGAGAAGTAAAAAAGCTTAACAGCCCTTTCCTCAGACAATGCCAATGGGGTTCCTAGGCCATTGCCAGGGCTCACTGGCTGATGGGAGACCACTTGGCCTTTTTTATTTATTTTTATTTATTTATTTTTTATTTTTTTGGTTTTTCGAGACAGGGTTTCTCTGTAGCTTTGGAGGCTGTCCTGGAACCCACTTTGTAGACCAGGCTGGCCTCGAACTCACAGAGATCCGCCTGCCTCTGCCTCCCGAGTGCTGGGATTAAAGGCGTGCGCCACCAACGCCCGGCCACTTGGTCTTTGAAAGGAGGCTGGACTGGAGCTTCCTGTTGGGGATCCTATAGGCACCAGTTTACAGCTGCATGAGTTAGCAGTGAGGGCAGCTCTGTGGTCCATGCTTTCTAGCTCCAGATAATACTTGCAAAGTCAGCATGTGCGATTAGCTCTGAAGGCTGACTGCTAGGCAGCAAAAACAAATCAAAACAAAACACGACTTTTCATTTTGTGTCCCTTGGCAGACCTCTACCTACATTCAGGACAGCTCTAGGAGGAGACAAGTTAAATAAACTGACCAGAGCAACCTAAGAGGGATGAAAAAAGACAAGGACAGGGAAAGGAAAAAGTTCTGGCACAATGACGTCAGGGGCCCAATGTGGCAAAAAGCCTTTAGAGGCAGCACGAGAAGTAAAACAGACAACCTTCTGCAGTCTTCCTGAGAAACTCTGGAAAGAGTCCTGCAGATTGCATAGCAGCACACCTTCCAGGGTTCACAATAACCGTTACCACAAATTCAAAACAGTGGAGACCTTCACGACCCCTTAGGGTCGGGCTACTCAGGAGATACCAGTCGAATGCTTGAAAAGTTGTGTAGTTTAGCACTGGAGAACCGATTGTTCTCTAATGCTACTCCTCACGGGGTGACTCCAGCTCCTTCACGTTGGCTGCTTGGCCATCCCGACTCGGCGCTTGGATGTCTGTCTTCCAGACCTGGACCCACTACGAGTCCCCAGACAAGCCGCGTACTTTCTGAGAGAAAGGGTCCTAGGGGCGACCATTGGCTCCGGAGCAAACCTGGAAAACAACCAGGCGTGGAACTTATGATACCAAGGGCGCACAGGGGCGCGCAGCAAGGCTGTCCTGCTTCCATCCACGCTCTGCACAGCGCCATGCAGCCTGCACCCCGGAAAGTCCCAGAGTCCCGCCCGCCTCCCGTCCACTCTGAGTGGGGCCAGGGTAGCGCGCGGGCCGGCTACTCAGGCTTCGCCACCCGCAGCAACGCCGAATCAGTACCATCCAGCGAACCTGGACAACTAAGCAGGCTTCCCTCAGCCTCAATCACGCCCACCTGATCTTACCCCGCCCTCAACGGAGGACAGCAGCCTCGCGTTGCGTGACGTCATCACCGTGCGCCCCCCCCGAGATCTGGGTCACCGTGGAGGGTCAATCATCCTCTACAGAGACGGGTCCCTGCGTGGCTCCGCGTGGTCCGGACTCAGTTCCCCACCTACTGAGTAAAGTTCTGCACGGCGGGTCCACGAGGTCCCTCCAAAGCTAAGGTGGCGGCCGCAGGTTGGAGTCTCTTGGGCGCCGGCACCAACCGGCCCATCACTGAGGAGTGAAAGGGAGGGCGACTTGTGCTGTCGTGTGGGGCGAATGGGAGGGGGCTTCTCCATAGATGACGCCGGGCCTCGTCGTGGTAGCTAGAGAGGAGAAGGTCCCGGACTTGGGACATTGACCAGCAGGGTCGCCTCTTTCGAGGCGGCGGGCTCCTCGGTTCTTTCCCAAGGTGGGAACCTCCTAATCTATGTACTCTCCCACTGGTTTAATCCTGATGGGTGTAGGACACTCGACTTCCACCTGCCTAGACCACTCTGGGAGTTTGTGGCATTGGAGAAAGTAGCCCTAGCTTCTTTTCCCGTCCGTAAGCAGGCTTGATAATGGTCACCCCGCCGTATTGTTATGAAAACTAAAACTATGTTAAAAAATAAAAAATGAACCACACACCGCACAGAGAAAGGTTCAGATTCCATAGCCTTCAGGAATGGGTGGCCCCGGTCCTGCTGAAGACTGACTCGTTCTTTGGAGGATAGGACCTTGGTAGCTGCTTTTGAAAAAAGCTGCCACAAGCTGTTCTAATTCGAGGCCAGAGAGCTGGTATGGTAGACTGGCAAGAGACACTGACCTCACCCTGGTCTTCTGTAACGGAGAATTCAAACCACAGATTGAAACTGTTTTGTTTTTGAGTCTGCATTGAGCGTAGGGGTTTTTGTTTTGTTAACAAAATCGTTTAATAACTGTTATATGGCTTTTGTATACTCTCAGGTTGTTTGCTTCAGTCTTTTGATACAGTCTCAAGTAACACAGCCTGACCTTTAATTCCCTGTGTAATAGGATAGCCTTGAACTCCTGATTCTCCTGCCTTTGCCTCCAGTGTTGGAAATACAGGCGTGTCCTTCCACACTGGCTTTGTATTCTTTTAGGTATTATAAGTGACTTAAGGCACATGAGAACCAGTGCACAGATCATATGCAAATACTAAGCCATTGTACAGCAAAAGGCTAGCAATCTGTCAGTTTATCTGTAGGGGGCTCCTGGAGCCAATTCCCTATGAATACTGAGGGACACCTGTATATGCTGCTTGAGATGCACCTGGGTCTGACTTAGATCCAGGCCAGGATTTAGGACAATAAGTGGAAAAATCAGGTTTTTGTTTTTTTTTCCCTTGTCTAGCAGGTCCTACATCTGGGCTAGTGACTGTTTCCTCGTGCCACCACAGCTCTAAGGAAAACAATGCCTTTGGTTAGCCTGCTTGGGTAAGCATGGAATTCCAGTCCCCTCAGGTATATTCCAAGACACCCTGCCCTCTCCAGGAAGAGGCTGTTATCTCCTTTCCTCTGTGCTGGAAGGCTTGTGCCAAGTCACCCACAATAGACTGCTTTGACTATGCTAGTAGTTCAGCAGAGGTCCCTAAATATGAGTTATCAGTCTTTGCTAGTGTCTGGTTGCTGGGAAGTTCTCTGTCATACCCTGACAATGGCTGGCTGACTTGGCACTTGGTGCCATCTGGCTCACCACTATCTATCACCCAGCATTTGTTTGTCTGTCTGTAGCCTGCTGAGGCACTGTGCTGTGAGGGCAGCCTTCCCTGCACCCTGCCACCTCCACACATCCTCTCGGACAGCTGACAGCCACAGAGCTTCACTTACTCGACTGCACCGCCAGGCCTATGCTCGCCTCTACCCTGTGCTGTTGGTCAAGCAGGATGGTTCCACTATCCACATCCGATACCGGGAGCCACGACGCATGCTGGTGGTAAGCTTCCTTCAGCAGGTACTTGCTGAGCCATAGTGTTGGGACTCAGTGCCAGTAATTGAGATTGAAGTTTGCATATGTAGCTAAAGTCACTATACTACAGCGGAGGACTAGGGGATCAAGTCGTCAGAAGAATTTACACCAAAAACTCCAGTCACCAAAATTAGAACAAACAAATTAGTTATATTGGGTAGGGGGGTTTTGTTTTATTGGTACAGGGTCTTATGAAAACCAGGCTAACTTTGAACTTACATACTGAGGCTGACCTTGGCCTCCAATCTTCCTGTCTCTTTTTTTCTCAGTATTGCTTTGAACTCACAAAGGTCCACCTGCCTCTGCCTCCCCAGTGCTGGGATTAAAGGCATGTGCCACCAACACCCGGCTCTTCCTGCTTCTTTAAGTGCTGAGATTATAGGCCTGTGTCACCAAGCCAGGCTTAACAAGTCCGTTAAAAAAATAAAAATAAAAATAAACCAAGGGGCTGGAGAGATGGCTCAGCAGTTAAGAGCACTGATTGTTCTTCCAGAGGTCCTGAGTTCAATTCCCAGCAACCACATGGTGGCTCACAACCATCTGTAATGAGATCTGGTTCCCTCTTCTGGCGTACAGACATACATGGAGGCAGGATGTTGTATTCATAATAAATATAAATCTTTAAAAAAATAAAATAAAAATAAACCAAAATACCAAATCTGGGCTAGAGTGTATTCTAGTTGGTAGAGTGCTTGCCTACAAGGCACAAGCCTTTCATTCCAGGACCACATAAAACCAGGTGTGGTGGCACACATCTGTAATTGTAGCACTCTGGAAGCTGAGGATGATTGTGCTGAGTTCCAGGCTTTTTTGGACTAATTAAAACTCTGTCTTAAACAAACATACACTAAATCTAGGGGAAAGGAGTAGAAAAACATTGTTTGTTTTGAAGGGAAAGCAAGGCTAACCAAATCTATAAATAGTAGGCCAGCACAGGATAGAAGGCACAGGTAAAAGAGGTCCAGGTGTCTTCCCCAGGCACTCTCCTGACTCTCCTCAATGGCATATACATACCTTGACTTGTCCCCATGCAGATGCCCCTAGACTTAGATGCCCTATCTCCAGAAGAGCGCCGGGCCCGGTTCCGGAAACGTGAGGCTCAGCTTCTGCAGAAGAGGGAAGAAGAACCAGAGATGATTGACAGTTTTGACACCGAACGATACAAACAGTTTTGGACCAAGACCAAGAAGTAACTATGTCAGCCGGGCGTTGGTGGCGCATGCCTTTAATCCCAGCACTTGGGAGGCAGAGGCAGAGGCAGGCGGATCTCTGTGAGTTCGAGGCCAGCTTGGTCTACAAAGTGAGTTCCAGGACAGCCTCCAAAGCCACAGAGAAACCCTGTCTCGAAAAAACCAAAAAAAAAAAAAAAAGAAGTAACTATGTCAGGGAGTCGCACCAGAGACATTTTGTAAGAATAGAGAGGCATCTGTCTGTAAATTATACTTATCTGAAACCATAGCCTCCTGTCATTGTCTTCTTTTATGTAGTAAGTCCAGCCCTGAAGCTCATCATTTCTGGAAAGTACGTGCTAGCTCAAAACCAGATTGAAAGACTCTGGCGTTAGAACAGATCAGAGGGTTTAGGATTCATTTAGGTTGAACCTGTGGGTTTTTTTTTTTTTTGGGTTGGGTTTTATTCTTTTAAGACAAAAGTCTCATCCTGGTTGGTCTATAGCTCATTATGTAGAGCAGGCCTCACTCTGCTTCCTAAGTACTGGGATTAAACGTGTATGCCATAACACTCGGCTTCAAACCCCTGGGTTAGACCCTGATACAAGGTTAGTTGTAAAGTCACTGAACAGGAAGCACCCAGCAGCTAACAGCTCTGCCTGCCTGCCCCTAGGAACCTCCAAGTTAAACTCCTAGATCACACGTGGCCTGCAGTGATCTTTCTCACCCCTTCCCTTTACAGGTCCTTCCCTAAAAGGCTTTCCAGGGAGAAACACTTTCTTGCCCTTAGGAGTGTGGCCAAGCTATGTGTCTCTTTTGTTTGTTTTCAAGACAGGGTTTCTCTGTGTAGCTCTGATTGTTCTGGAACTTACTCTGTAGACCAGGCTGGCCTGAACTCAGAAATCGGCCTGTCTCTGCCTCCTGGATTAAAGGTGTGTGCTGCCACCACCAAGCCAGGCTGTGTCTTAAGTCCCTCGTCTGCTCCAATCTGCAGAATAAGTGGCCACACAAACAAAAGCCTATAAACAGCTGCCTGAACCTTTGTACATCTTGATGTAGATGTAAAATCCCACAGGCTTCATCCAGATACAAGAGTGCATATAATACCTAACTTCAAAAGCAGGCCTGTGACCATTTACCCCTTCACGGCTATAGTCAGTTGCTTCAAACTGGTGTGGACACTTGTCCCATACCCTCCCAGCCTGATAGCCATACTCCCTTCTTAACTTCACCTAGTATGCATTTTGTGGTCAGACAGTGCAGCTGAGCCTTCTATGTCCTTAGCATACCTGGTCAACAGTGAGGGCCCCAGAAGTTGCTATCTTGCTTTCTGGAGATCTTTCCTAGGAGATGGCTGGTTTGCTCCTTTTATACTTGGCCCACAAGAATGCTGCTCCCTTGTTGTGCAGCTCCGCTTAGGTCCATCCATGTAATACATCCGTCCCTAGTGTGATCTTGTTCTGAGGGATCTAGTTCCAGCTGTGTCCTCCAAAGCCAGGACATGAACTCAGGGCGTGCACCAGGTGACTCACAAGCTGTTGGCAGGTACTCAGCATGACCAAAAATGGGGCTGTCTTGGTCTGTTTGGGATGCCAGAGAGCACCAGGTAGGTAATTTTTCAGACTAGGCATGGAACTTGAGACCTCTCTATCATTAAGATGTAGCTCTGTTTCTCTTTCTTATGTTCAGGCAGGGCCTTGCTAAATTGCCCAGACTAGCCTTCAAATCTCTTTATAAGCCTAGGCAGTCTTTGAACTTCCAACCAACCTTCCTACTTTGGCCTCCTGGGAACATAGGATTACAGACTCTTGTCACCAGGCCTAGTTCAGACTGGGTACTTTAATTAGCACAGTGGAATACACTCTAGGGCATGTGTGTGGTCAGATGACAAATTGTGGAAGCTGGTTCTCTCCACCATGTGGGTCCTGGAGATTAAACTTGCTTTAGCTGGCTTGGCAGCAAGAGCCCATACCCACTGAGCAATCTCACTAGGCCTGGGTACTTTATAAATAGTAATTTGTTCTCACAGTTGCAGATTTTATACATGTTTTGTCTTGTAGAATATGTGAAGTTTCCCCAAAAGCAATGGCAGAGGAATTCTCACAAGGGAGTGATCCAGCTGCTCTCAAGATAGGTCTATAAATACTAGGGTGAGGTGTGGTGGTTCACATATGCTTTTAATCGTAGCACTTGGGAGGCAGAGGCAGATGGTTCACATATGCTTTTAATCGTAGCACTTGGGAGGCAGAGGCCAGGAGCACATGGTGAAACTCTTATCTCAAAAACAGAGAGGTTGGCCAAGTTGCCTCTCCTGGTTAATTTGGGAAGAACTAGAAACCAGGAGGCTTAAGGCAGCCCAGCACTTAAGTGCAATCTGCATGACGACTTGTTTTTTGTTTTTCACCTCCTTTGATAACAAGAGTTAACAAATTTACAGTTCTGCAGGGGAGCCTGCTTCACAGGCCAGCATGCTCAAGGTTATATAAATCACAACAATGTCTTCAGAAAAATAGTCGAGGTATAGGAACATCATTTACCCTATTTTATAGAAGCTGAAGGTCCCAGGCATTCTTGTGTTCCTTCCCACATCTGATATTCCAAATTCCCTTTCATTAACATGGGATGTTCCCATCTTCATGTCAAATTCATTATATCCTCACAAACAAAATAACCTCACCACTCCCCCAAAACAATCTGGATGCTAGCACTATTAAGTTCAGACAACAGATCTGTTCTGGTTTCTAGACAGTCAACATCTCATTTTATACTCGAGACTGAAGGTAAGAGTTCTCCAGGATTCCTTTCATAGAGGCACTAATCTGTGAGGCTCTACCTCATTACCTCAAAGGCCCAGCCTTCAAGAACAACCCTAGTGGAAGATTTAAACATAATAATGGTGGTGTGGTTTGCCACACAGTCTACTACAGGCAGTTAGGGCTAAGACTATCATGCAGAAAAATTGCACTCATTTAAGTTTTAGTCCAGACATCGACTTGGTCGTTCATTGGCTGTCAGCTAAAATTAATTATTCTTCCAGGGCCAAATGACAGTGCTAAACCTACATTCAAAGAAGCTGAGTTACTCTTTATTCTTGGTCATGCCCCATCAGAACAAATGCAATTAGCTCTGTTCTTCGTCAGTAAAGTCACCTGCAGGGACCACAGATTGCTCTGGTTTAGGAACGCTTGGGCTTTGTGGCCTTTATGTCACTTTCGTAACACAATCTGCCATCCAGTACACAGAAGAGTTGATCTGCGTTTCTTAGGGGGCTTTATCCGCCCTTCATTGTTCCAGGGAGGTTTGTCAGTATTTTACTTCGTCTCAGCAGTGACCTGGAACCTCAGTCCTTTGGAGTTGGCACGCCTGGCTTTCGCCCGACCCTAGCCCCTCCTGTTGTCACTAAGGTTGTGTTGGCATCCCAATTCACCAAGTAGCCTAACAAGCATGACACGTGAGATCGCAGAGCAGCCGTTTCTTCGAGGAGCTAGCGCGCAGGCGCACGTGGTGATGGGATGAAGATGCGCCTGAGAATTACTGCCTGAACACCAGGTGAAAAGAGGGACCTCGGCTGAGGCTGCTCGAGCCACGCAGTGCGCAGGCGCGCAGAGACCTTCGAAGCGCAGGCGCGCAAGTGACGTCACTGCGAGCGTCCGGAGGCCGAGTGCTGCGTGAGTCCGACGGTCGATGCTACGGGTACTAGGGATTGTGCAGCGGCTTCGTCGCCATGTTCGGCTCCAGTCGCGGCGGAGTGCGTGGCGGACAGGACCAGTTCAACTGGGAGGATGTGAAGACCGACAAGCAGAGGGAGAACTACCTAGGAAACTCGCTGATGGCGCCAGTGGGCCGCTGGCAGAAGGGCCGCGACCTCACCTGGTACGCGAAGGACCGCGCGCCGTGTGCCGGCCCGAGCCGTGAGGAAGAGCTGGCTGCTGTGCGCGAGGCGGAACGCGAGGCGCTGCTGGCCGCACTGTGAGTTTCTGGGCTGCGGAGCGACTGCGAGCGCCGGGGATGGCATCTGGGTGGCCACGGGGCGGGGCTAGATGTAGGCAGGGCAGAGGGGGGAAGGCCAACAGGGGTCATGCCCGTTGACGTGCACCCTCGACCCTTGCAGAGGTTACAAGAACGTGAGGAAACAGCCCACCGGCCTGAGCAAAGAGGTAAGTCTGGGGTGCGGGTTCGGGGTTCGCAGGGCGGGCAGGGGTCCATCTTTACCGGCCTAGAACCTCTTCCCCCCCTTCCCGGCTTCCTCAGGACTTCGTAGAGATCTGCAAACGGGAAGGAGGCGATCCTGAGGACAAGGGTGTGGACCGGCTGCTGGGTCTGGGCAGCGCCAGGTGCGGCTGGTTGGGGAGAACGGGGCAGGACTGGGTGGTGTTTCAGAACTGTCCTCAATGTTCTGCCTTCTGCAGTGGTTCCGCAGGCCGTGTGGCACTATCCCGGGAAGACAAAGAGGCTGCCAAGCTTGGGCTGTCAGTGTTCACGGTAAACTCTTGTCAACCCAAATGCGCAGGATCCTGGGCTTGGGGATGTTTGGGGAGACGCGGGGCGGGATTCCCTGGGTGTCCCTACCCACAGTTGCGCATCTCATATAGCACCACCGCGTGGACAGCCAAGGCCCAAGCACCAACCCATCTGCTGCCAGGAAGAAGCCTCGTGCTGAGGACAAGGCCGAACTAGAGTAAGTTGAGTCTGAATCCTTACTCTGCCTACTCGTGTGTGCGCTGATGAGTCTCTTGCTGGTATCCTATGCGAGTTGTGCTGGAAGTGGGCACACTGCACTAAGAGTGTATTCACAGAAGAGACTGGGTGTCCAGACCCATAGGTATACTGGGAGGTTGAATGCAGGGTCATTTTTTGATGGAGCTAAGCACTGCCTTAGCTCTTTTGGCTTTGCTGAAGTTGCCTGCCCATCCAGATGCCCAGCAACCTGAAAGTGGATAGTCTTCATAGCAGCCATTGAGGGCCAGCAGGGTGATGGTTGCAAACAGGAAGGTGCCACTCAGACAGTGCCATGATGCGGGCCAGTTTGATGAGAGGTGAACAGTTAAAATATGAGGCTATAAGTGGTGGTACTTGCCTTTCTATAATCCTAGCACTTGGTAGACAGAGGCAGACTGATCTCTAGTTTCCAGGCCCTCGGATTTAGTTGTGTGTCTGGTTACTTCCACTTTTGTGTCAACTCAACTTTGTACTCAAATAATGAGTTCTGTAGATTGGATGAGGAGCCTAATATTAAAATTAAGCTCATTCACTAATATAAGCCTACATTATCGATGCACAGTGCTATAGACCCTGCCCTATCCTGCCTTGCACTACTCTGATGAGACTATACCAACTGCTTTCAGCTGTTTCAGTCCTTCAAACTTAGACCATTATATTCTCTCTTGCAGTACAGACAGCCATAAGAAAAGCAAGAAAGAAAAGAAGAAAAAGAAGAAGAAACACAAGAAACACAAGAAGAAGAAAGACAAAGAACACAAGAGGGAGACTGACAGCTGTCCATCCTCTCCCTCTCCTCCTCGGTAGGCTAGGCCCCACTCTACCTTGAGGGCCCTAAGAAAGTCGGGGGCAGAGCTGGCCAGGCCTGTTGGGATGCTTGGGAGGGTGAGACCCTTCAAGTGTCTGGTTATCCTTGTCTTCCTAGGCCCAGACACCAGAGACATGATTCTGACTTCTCCCCCAGCTGTAAGAGGAAGCGGGGACATAGCCAGGACAATGGAAGGAGTCCACCCCGCAGACGACAAGACAGAGGCTCTGATGACTGAGAATGTGGCTAAACCAAAGGACACCAGAGCTGGTTGCCCTGAGCTGGGACCTTGCCCACCACCAAGCTCTGTAGGGTCTATAAAGAGTAGTCATTGGATGCCAAGTGGCTACCAGCCCCCTTCCTACTTGCCCAGACTAACCATCCCATCCCTGTCTGGGCTAAGGCAGGAGGCTGCTCCCTGGTAGGATTCTGAGCCAAGCTTGTTGGACCTTGGTATCTGTCTTGCCATTTGGAGGCAACTTATGTGGCAACCACTCCATGTTGCTGAAGAGTGGGTCCTGGGTGACTAGAGCCTAGTGATTCTGTGAGGGGAGTGCCCTTGCCTCACCCCCATGCCAAGGAAGATACAGTTGCCTAGAAGATTAAGGCCAGATTGCTGTTTGTGCTGCCACAGTGCAGGCCCTTGAGGTTTGGGTATGTGTGTGTCTATGTATATATATCTGGTCACGTTTTGTATCAACCCACTTTGTACATAAGTAAATGTATTTTAAAAGTAGAGTGTATCATCTCACTGAGGGCATGTTAGGCTGGGAGCCTGGCCTTAGCATGGGGCATCCATCGAGTATACCTGAGGGCGCTGGATCTAGAGACCAGAGTCCTGTCCTTGAGGCTTCTTCAAGGCCAAGGAGTTAGAACAAACTTCTGTGAATATGAATGCATCTGCAACCTGCCCAAGAGGTCCAATCTGGTTCCTATCTAAGCAGAGGCAGTGGGTTCCACAGCCATATAATAGCAATTTTAGAGCCTGTGCACACAACATGGGCAGACCATAGAAATTAGGCTGGATTCAGCTATATATGCTGGGCGTGTGTACTCTTGGGCAGACCCCAAAGTGTCTTGAGACTCAAGCTGTGGCTTGTTTGTTGACCTGTGCTCTGCAGGTAGCCACCTAAACATGAGTGAAGATTAGTTATCTAAAACACCACCTCAAGGGGGTGAAGGTCTATCTACTTAGGCAGGGGCCCACTCTGGATGGTAGACTTTGTATCTCCTAGTGGCCACACCTACCCAGAGATATATGTACCACCCCAAGGCTGGCTGCCTACTGAAGGGACAGGAGGCACACCTCAGTTGTCACAAAGCACCCCCAGGCTGGTAGTAACCCTGAGATGTTAAGGGAAGCCACCAGGTCTTACTTCTACCAGGGCATAGAGGGTACCTGTTTTCTCTCAAATTAAAAAGGGCTCTCTTAGGAGGCAGCCTGGCAGTAGTGACACTGATACACAAGCCCATCAAATAGTTAAGAGACTTTATTCTAATAGCTATAATTACAGTGCTTGTCGAAATGAAAACTGAAAACAAGTATACAAAACAGTTGATTACTAATTGTGTATTGAAAGCAGTAAGAGGTTCCACGACACCAAATAAACCAGTTCTGAGATTTCCCCAAGATAAATTTAACAGCTCCAGCTTCTTCAGTGTTTATCAAAATACAAAAGAAAAAAGTAGAGGTCGTCTTTCGATGGCAAATCGGACCCTTGCAGGCTGAGGGAGAAAGCTACTTCACACATGGAGATGGGGGTGCTCCAGGATATGGGTCTGGAATGGATCGACCCTCCCAGCTTGCACGCGCTCCTGCTGGTGAGACCCAGGCCTCCTGCCAGCGCGTCCAAGTGGGCCCAAGAGTAAGCTGGGTATGTAGGCTGCCATCTGGCCCGGCCACACACCAAATACAAGCCGGGCCCTGCACCCCACAATGACCCCCCAGCCAACCCCTAGGTGACCATGTGAGCACAAGTACAAGCACAATGCTATGGAATGCAGGTGACCCAAAGACAGGCGAGTCACGGGGGCTCTACTGTGACCATGCAGCGGATGGTGGTTTGTCACCTTCTCTCCTGTTCCCATAGGGGAATAGGTGATCCGATGGACTAGCATTCAGGCCATTACTGCAAAACCTACACTAGGCATAGTCTCCGTTCTGTGTGTTCAAGTGTTCTTGTCCTGTATTTTTTTTTTACTATTTAAAAAAATGCACTGAGTTTGGGTTAAAAACCAACCACCAAATGGATACTGACACCAGTCTACAGCCCAATGGCTCCCGGAGGCCAGGTGCCCCTACACCCAAATCCCTTCTCAGTACTGACAGTGAGTTGATTCTCTTTTTACAATAAAAAAGCTAAGTAATATTGCATAGGAGTACCAGAAACTGCCTCAGTGGAAACAGAAACTATTTACATTAAATAAAAACCTGGCTGCAGGCTGCGTCTGCACATGTACAGCATGGTGCGATGCACACTGTGACCAACCCATGGAGACAGCTTCTGGCACTCAGGACCACAGAGTCGCACGTTTGCCACATGAGAGGAAAGCGGAGGGCGGAGAAGAGGAAGTGAGGGGGAGGGAGGGGTCTGGTTCACTTCTGGTTCCGGAGCTGATTGGACAGCCAGTCTAGTCCTTCATAGAGCCCGTCCCCGCTGGTGGCACAGGTGGCCTGAATGTACCAGTTCCTGTGGCGTAGAGAGTGCAGCCCCAGCTTGTCTGTGATTTCGGCCGCATTCATGGCATTGGGAAGGTCCTGGGGGAAAGGAGGAATTAGTGACAGGGACTACCAGCAGCCAGTCACCTGGGGCAGCCTCTCACCCACCCTCTCTTCCCTGACACAGGTTCTCCATCAGGGAAGGACCTTACTAGTGCCTACCTGCTTGTTGGCAAACACCAAGAGAACGGCATCTCGGAGCTCATCTTCAGCTAGCATCCTCATGAGCTCCTCACGGGCCTCATTCACACGCTCTCTGTCATTGCTGTCCACTACGAAGATCAAGCCTGCAACAGGGCCACATTACTGCACATACCGAAGACTGTTCACCTGGTCTACCCACAGGCTCTAGATTCAGTCCTCCCACTGGCCACAATGTTCAGTGTGGCTTTATGCCCTGAAACTGACAAGGCCATGAGGCTCAGTGAGAAATGCATCCCTTTAAGACAAAGGAATCTAGGACAAGGAATGGCCCCTCACCTTGGGTGTTCTGGAAGTAATGGCGCCATAGCGGTCTGATCTTGTCCTGGCCGCCCACATCCCACACGGTGAAGCTGATATTCTTGTACTCAACTGTCTCCACGTTGAAACCTGGGGGCAGGGTTACAGTTGAGTGCCCTCTATACTCTGGAACCTCAAATTCAACCCCCACTCTGACCCTCGCCCAGCCTCTTACCAATGGTGGGAATCGTGGTCACAATTTCACCCAGCTTCAGTTTGTATAGAATTGTTGTCTTCCCTGCAGCATCCAGGCCCACCATGAGAATGCGCATTTCTTTTTTGCCAAAAAGGCCCTTGAAGAGGTTTGCAAAGATATTCCCCATGCTTGTGGACAGGTGGAATCGATACTGGCCAGAGACCTGGGGAAGCAAGTTGTTCCAGTCCTGTTATGTGCTGCCAGTTTAGGCCCTGTGGCAGGCCATAGACACACCTACCTAGGAGTCCCCAGCCCCAAGCCTTCTCTCATCCCTCATGAGATCTCAATTCAATTCCAGGTCCCAAGTGGCAGAAAAAGAACCCTGTCCACAAGACTCCCTAGGCATCTAAAGGCCACATACTAGTGTAGGAAGGCAGAGATAACAGAAAAGCCCCTTGTTTCCCAAGTCTATCCACCTATCAGAACATCTAACTACATCCGTGTACACTCACACTTGAGACCTGGCATGTTCACTCTCTAAAAAGTGCTCTGAGACACACATGAAGCCCTCTTACAGCCAACGGAGGTCTTCACAAGATCAGAAAGAACCACTTTACATCTCTCTTTACTTCAAAGTAGAACAGATTGCAACTAGAGAGCTGGTCACACTCTAGGATCAATACTGGTGACAGTAGTGGTATCACATCTCCAGGCGTTTCTGTCATTCAGGCCATGGGAGACAGTTGTTAAGGCAATGTTCTATCCATCTCAAGCAGCTCAAGAAGGTAGAGACCCAAACAGTAAACCAATGGCAGCACATTCCATTCAAGACCTATACAAAAGGATGCTCCTATGAGGACAGGTAAATGTGAAGACTTGTTCCAAGAGCATGTACACACACTCAGTAGGGTCCACTGGCAGAACAGAAACACTAGAGGTGCCAATCAACTAAGCTGGCACCAATTTACCAGAGCCTATCAGGTGTTTAGGGCTTCTGGAAAGGATACTAAGGCTGTTCTGGTCTCAACATCTGGTGGCCACTTGTTTTTCATCCAAATGGATTTTACTGCATTCTTGAATGCTGACTGTTAGCTCCTAATAGTAACAGCAAATAGAAGGCCATGGAGCCTTCAGAAAGACGTATGTCTGTGTGCTATCCAAGGCTGCTAACCTCACAGGAAAATGAATTAGCATGGTGTGAGACAGGATGACAAGGCTTCCCTGTAAACTGTCCTTCTGTGCTACTGTAACAGAACACCAAAGCTGAACAACACATGAGCTGGACATTCCAAATCATGGCCAGGTAGGTTAGATGTTTGGCTCTAAGATATGGCCTTGAGCTGTATCCTCCACAGGAGAGGAATGCTACAATCTCATATGGAAAGTGAACCTACTTTCAAAGCCCTTCTCATGACAGTCCTTATACATTCGTGAGGGTGGAACCCAAACACCTGCCCAACATTATTGCACTGGGGTTCAATTTCCTATATACAAACTTAAAGGACTACATTCAGACCACAGTCAGTATATTCAAAATGAAGGCTCCCAGAAAGAAGTACAAGAAAAATATAAGGATGGCTGTAATTCGAATATTTGGGAGGCAGAGGCAGGAGGACAGAAAGTACAAGGCTGGAACATGTAGTACAATTGCCAAAGGAAAAAAAAAGAATCTGGGCATGTTGAGTCATGCCTGTAATCCCAGCACTAGGGAGACTGAGGCTGGCAAACTTTCAAGTATGATGCCAGCCTGAACTAGTGTGAGATCTTGTCTTAGAAGAAAACTAAAAAAACAAAACAAAACCAATTGGGGGATGGGACAGGATGGGAAAACGTTGACAGGAAGACAAGATGGGAGAGAAGAAGAAAAGACAGATGGATAGGGCAGACTGAAAAAAGTACAGAAAAGAAACTCTTAGCTAGGCAGCAGAAGCACATGCCCTAAGAGCTGAGGCTTGCTGCCAAAACATTCTGTGACAATGCACTGCTGGTGGGAGGAAACTCTCAGGCAATAATCTTTAAAATTCTGAGATTATGGCTCTCAACCTTCAACTCCTACCAATTATTGATAGGGAAGAACAACTAATTTCAACATAGCAAGGCATCCCCTGAACATCCAAACCAGGCAAAAGGGAAGCGAGCCCAAGATGAATTAAGAAGGAGCCTCTAGTTGTCATAGAGCAGGGAGCACACCACTTAGCTATTTCTATCATGAGGTCTGGTGATTTTGAATTGAGAGGGCAAAAAAGTACAGACATAAGTCCAAGGAGGCAACACATAATTTACTTTAAGGAAAAAAAAAAAAAAAGAAGAAGCAGGTGGCTATCTTCTCAGCAATCAGTCGTTCATGCAAAAAATTCTACCTTCTAGCCAGGTGGTAGTG